GAAGTGTTTAACTGGTGAAAATAGGAGGCAGGTTCTGGCATTTCTCCCTGTTTGGTGTCTCTTTGCGAATGGTAGAAATTACAAGAGAGTATCTTGTAGACCATCTTGACTGCTGACATGGATGTCATTCAGGCTGCTTTTTACTATGTAAAGTTTAGCATCCTTTTTCATGTTGCCAACACGGGCATGGTATTGTGCAGCATTATCAGGTCATTTCCTGGCATTTTGAATCATTGATAGAGAAGCACAGTATCCCACATTCAGGAACCAGATTTTTTTGAAGAATGGAGTTATAATATGTCGCTGAATCAGTATCTGTCCTCCTACACATTTTTGCTGAGATTGGTTTAAATACACCAAAGTCCTGTTTTGTGGTATAATATCTTTGAAGTACTGTCAGCAAAATCCTAATGTTGTAGAGAGACTCTGCAAAAAGATATTTGATTATTTAGCAAGCATACCTCTATGGAGTGTCTGTGTGAGAGAGAATGTACACTTAGCTTGTGTTGTGATGCTAAACTGAATCAAATTTTACTCTCAAAGTATTTTCATTAAAAGGAATGAGTCACCATGACCGTAAATCCTCTTGATTTCACTGGTCTACTCTAGTGGATTTAGCCCACTGATTTTTATGTGTAATGTAGCATAATTATGAATAAGAATCTTTAAGTAAACATGAGATTCAGAATAAATAGAAATACTAAAATGTTTAAGTGTTTGGTGTTCCTTCACATCATACAAAATAATGGGATGGATTCTCAGCATTTAGAAGTATGAAGAAGAGCGAAATGTCTAAAGTATAAATAATTGCTTAGATTCTGAATACGAGCCTTGTTTCTAGTGGCATTTCTAGTATTTTTCCTAGATCAGAGCCACAGGTGCAAGGAAATGACTTCATATGTGAAACATTAATCAGTTTGCTTTCCCCCCTTCATTTTGACTGCATGCTTGGTATGTTTTTAATAGTAGTTTTTGTTTATTTTAGTTGAGTAGCAAGAAAGTCTGGAGTTTTAAGATAGGATTTTAAAGAGCCTATTCTGGTTTCTGTGTTAGAATCCATTGATTAAAAGCTTTTGATGAAATTTGTGTAATGAATGGAGTGTTGGTAACTGTAAATAAATAGAAATGAGTATGCATTGTTGATTCCAGAAGTGCAGTATAAAATTGAATTTAAAATAAAAATAAAAATGAATGCCTTAGGGACCAGATTCTAATTTTCTCATTGTAACATCTGTTTAAATTAATGAATAGCTGTTACACTGAGCTGCCTGGTGAGATTGCAACTCTACACATTATTTAATTGTTTCAGTCTTCCTGCTTGACTTGCCAAAATGTTCTAAAATACTTATTTTTGTCATGTCTGAAGTTTTCATTTTCACTTTTCTGTGTATACTCATTTCAGTTATTTTTTAGCTTCAGTTTCCACACCTGTGCTGCAATAGTGTGGAAGTACGATGTGTGTCTATTTCAAGATAAATATAGAAAGTTTTGCTCCACTTCTCCTAGACCTGAGCACCTGCAGAGTTTACTAAAAGTTTTTTCTTGGTTTCAAAAATTCATCAGGCAAAAAAGGTTGCTCCATTAGGTCATAGCTTTTGCACTTTATTTTTATACTTTGGGGCTGTTATTGGTTTGGATTAATTTTGATATATTCCAGTGCTCAGTTTCTCCATGATTCTGACAACATAAAAGTTTGTTATTGTAATGGATGTTGATTATTGAGAAATTAAGAAACAAAAATACATTTGACACCAGTACTCAACTAATGAAGGGGAAAAAGAGAATGCATACAGCTTGTAGATCAGTTTTATATAGAGAAATGTTGGTGTTACGGCATATTTCCAAACAATCCAAGGTTATTCTTTTCCTTTTAAACTCAGAAGTACAAGCAGAATGATTTTGGTTTAAGAATGAGCTATTCCTGAACATTCCTGTTCTTTCACATTTTTTATGTGACTATGAAATAGAACCTATAATTTGGCTGCATATAAAGAGTTGTCCAGATAGGAGAAAGCTTGAGCCTTAAGGACTGGGGTGAACAGAGGATTGAAACGCACTTATCTTTGCCATCCTGTAACTTTGTCCCATAAAAGTGAAAGGAATGATGTTAATTCTTCTGAGAAAAGCAGTATACCACAGTGCTATAGTAAATATTTTCCATATCCATATTTAGCTCATTGTGATGACAGCCATTTTCCTAATACAATAAAAATACATTAATAGTGGAATAAAATAATTATACAGTTTGGTACACAACAAAACAGCATACTCTTCCTTTCATAGTGGAATGAGAATTAGATTTGTCTGGGGTTTCAACCTTCACTCTGGCTAATGCACGTTGAAATACAGAATCGCAGAATAATGGCATTGGAAGGGACCTATAAGGCCATTGAGTCCAACCCCCTGCCTAATTTTCTTTTTAATGCCTCCCCGTATTGGATCATACTACCAAAGTAATTGGTTCCTTTATTGTACTGCTCTAACAGTTAGGAAGTTTTTCCTGATATTTAACTAAAATCTGCCTTTCTGTAACTTGAGCCCATTCTTATGCATCCTGCACTTTGGGATGATTGAGAACATATCTGCATGACAATATTTCAGGTATTTGAAAAATGCTATCATATAGCTAGATCCTCAGCCTTCTTATCTCCAAGTTAAACATGCCAAGTTCTTTCATTCTTTTATCTTAGGACTTGGTTTCCTCTCCCCTGAACTGGTTCCAGCTTATTGGCATCCTTATTAAAGTGCAGTTTTCCAAACTAACCAGTGCCAAATAGAAGGGAACTAGTACTTGATGGGATTTGGAGATTATACTTCTGTTAATGCAGCCTACAATAGTGTTTTTGTTTTCTGCAGCCACATTGCACTGTTGGCTCATATTCACCTTCTAGTCTACAACAATTGTAAGATTCTTCTCATTTGTAGCATTACTAACCCAAGTATCTTCCATCTTGTAACCGTGTGTTTGTGTTCCCCCCCCCTTAGGTGTAGAACTTTGTACATATACCCGTTACATTTCATTCTGTTTTCAGCCCAGTGCTTGACTAAGATTCTTCTCATTTGTAGTATTACTAACCCAAGTATCCTCCACTTGTAACCGTCTGTTTGCATTCCCCCCCCCCCAGGTGTAGAACTGTGTACATGTACCCGTTACATTTCATTCTGTTTTCAGCCCAGTGCTTGAGACTGTTACAATCTTTTAAAATGTTATTTCTGTCTTCCAAGGTATTAGTTATTCCACCCAATTTTGTGTAATCTGCAAATTTGATAAGCATTCCTTGTACCCCCTCATCCAAGCCATTAATAAAGAGCTCTGGGCCCAAGACTGAGCCTTGTGATATCCCACTTGTTCACCTTCTCCCAGTTTGAGAATGAGCCATTGATAAACACTCTCTGTAAGCTACAGTGTAGCTCCAACTGATAGTTGTTCTATCCACCCCACAATTAATTAGCTTCCTAATCAGAATGTCCTGGGGCACTTTGTCAAACTTTTTGCTGAATTCAAGATACATAATGTCTGCAGCATTCCCACATCTACTGAAGAAGTTATGTGATCAAAAAATGGGACAAGATTGGTCTGGCAAGATTTGTTCTTGACAAATTCATGTTGGCTTCTAGATATTACTGCATTGTTTTCAAGGTGCCTGCAGAGTGACTATAATCTGCTATACAGTCGTGCCCCGCTTTACAATTACCCCATTTAACAATGAATCCGCTTGATGACGATATTTTTGTGATCGCAAAACGATGGTTTTAATGGGGTTTTTCCACTTTGAGATGATCGGTTCCCTGCTTCGGGAACCAATTTTCGACGATCAAAAGCAGCTGATCGTTGGGTTTCAAAATGGGCGCTGGGTGTACAAAATGGCTCCCCGCTGTGTTTAGGAGCCATTTTTCACTTTACAGGCACCCGAAAATGGCCGCCCCTATGGAGGATCTTCACTGGACGGTGAGTTTTCAGCCCATTGGAATGCATTGAACGGTTTTCAGTGCATTTCAATTGGCTTTTTTATTTCGCTTTACGGCGTTTTCGCTCTACAGTGATTTAGCTGGAATAAATTAACATCATTAAGCAAGGCACCACTGTACTGTACAGTTATCTCTTGGATTGATATCAGTTTAACTCGCCTATAGTTCCCAAGTTCCTCCTTTTTGCCCTCTTTGGAGATAGGAACAACACTAACTCACACAAAACAAAGGTATACTGGAGGCCAGCTTAATTATTCTGTCTGTGTTTGTTAAAATAGTGACATTTAACCCTTTAAAACTTAGTTAGCATGTATAAATGGGACCTGCAACAAAATATTGCAGTGTAGCTTGCTCTTGTTTAGACTTCCAGACTGGTCTCTGCCCTCTTGCAAGATACTCCATTTCATTCCTTCCTTGTGTCTGGCTTTTCCATATTGCAGTCATTTTGTGGTTTCTGAGCATGTGTGATCTTTAATGGACTGTTTGGAGAATATATACAGATTATAGTCTAGTGACACAAAAATACATGTATATTCAGAATGGTTTTTTTTCATATAAATGGTTGTCTTTCTACAACACTTGAGATCCTATCAAACCTGCTGACACCTTCCTCTTGGGTATAGATGTTGTATTTGAAGAAAACAAAGGGTAGACACTCACTTCTGAATTTGAGTAGAGAGGACATCATTTGCAAAGAACAGATATGTCTATTAATTGAATTTATACTTAATAGGTTTTTCTTTTGCACCTGCATTCAATCTTCTTAATTCATTTGCTGTAATTGTTACTATTTAGGTAGGATAATTTCATTTCTTTAACTTGAGTGGATCAAAACGTATACATATAGGGGATAATGATTTATTTTTGTGCCTGTATGGGACTGTTGTTTACTTACTTCTTTTTGAAGTCATTTGGGACTTCTCTCTGTAAGTTTAAGTAACTTTCTGCAAAAAATAGAATAAACAGTTAAAAAGATATTGCCAAGTATTTCAATGCATTGTCTCAAATTAGTTATTTTGTTTCATTTCCAGGATTTCCTTTGCTTATTACTGGAGGACATCCCACAGCTAAAAGGGTAGGTGGGAAATCAGGCTGGCAGATATAAAAAACAATAAGACAATTCTTGCCTCTATTGTATAACATTTGTTGTTTTCAGCTATATCCATGCAATTTTAAACTGCTTTTAATTTTTTGCACTCTTTATACATTTTATTGGTTCTGTGATTGTTTAATAAAAGAACGATTTAGTAGAACATGTGGTGTGTTCAGAAGGAAGTTTGCTTCAAGAACATCTGAAGAGGTTTTGATCTAATTATCCCAAAGGTTATATAGGGGGAGGTAAAGGTTCCCCTTGACATTTATTCCAGTTGTGTCCAACTCTAGGGGGCGGTGCTCATCCCTGTTTCCAAGCCATAGAGCCAGCGTTTGTCCATAGACAGTTTCTGTGGTCACATGGCCAGTGCGACGAGACACGGAACATTGTTACTTTCCCACTGTGGTGGTACCTATTTATCTATTCACATTACATGCTTTTGAACTGCTAGGTTGGCAGGAGCTGAGACAAGTGACGGGAGCTCACTCCATCGCATGGATTCGATCTTACGACTGCTGGTCTTCCGACCTTGCAGCACAGAGGCTTCTGTGGTTTAATCCACAGCGCCACCATGTCCCTCTATATATATAGGAGAAACATGTATATAAAACTTCCATCGATTGACACAAATAGATGTAAACACATCACGGATAATAACAAAATGTAAAATGTTTCTGATACTGTACAGTTTTTGAGATAATATTAACAAGGATAGTTACATCTCTTTGTGCTCACAAATGCTCAAAGTGCACTGAATCTATACAGTAAAACAGTGGAGCTGCAGTCCCGTGCAGCCTTGTCTTAGAATAAGGTTCATTGAGTTAAATGGAAATTCTTTTGGGTAGACATGGAAAACATTAGGCAATAAGCATTATAATTACCTATTTGTTTGTTAGGTACTATAGTTTTTTTCAAGAGGAGCTTCAAAATAAAAGGAAAGCCTAGAAAAAGATTCAAGATGGAATTTATATTTAAAGCCAAAATCCAGTATTTCTTCTTCGTGGTCTCTGTGAATCACACATTTGGTTTAAACAGCCCCTGCGCTGGAACTTCGGAATCTTCTAGAGCTTTTTTTCTTAAAAGATACATAGTTTAGATTGCCCCCTGTATGCATGCTCCATTCCCCCAGGCTTCAGTTCCTAATTTTCCGCCACAGTGCTAGGAACGCTTCGGATAGAGCTCCTAAAGTTGTTGGAATTTTGACTTCTTTTTAGAATGTTTTATTCATCTAGTATTTGTTTCTGTTGCCCCTTGACTCGGACTGTTTTTCGGCTATTCGTTGTTGTCGCGGACTTGGAGATTACTTGGCTTTTCCCACGCTGTTGTGGATTGCCTGATTGCCCACCTGATTGGCGCAGCAGGAGGCACCATTATCCACTTGACCTTAATTGCCTGTGAACTTTTCTCCTTATTGGCGTGAGAACAGAGGCTTTTCACAGCCTGTTTTTTTTATGTCCCCCTCAGGCCATTTTAGCAAGTGCAGGGCTTGTTCTATGAAGCTGCCCTTTTCTGACAAGCACAAGTTTTGTCTTTTTTTACCTGGGGGACAGTCACATTCCTTCTTCTTGTTGTCACTTAAAGAATTTTACTAAAGCTGGGCTTAAGCAAGGCAGCAAAGACTCAAGTACGGGACAGAGCCTTGTCTGCCTCCCAGCCTATGGCAATGGAGATTTCTTCCAACCCGTCCGTGACTCCAAGATCTGAGGCTAGTGTCCCTGCTCTTTCTACCGGCGCCTCTAAGTCTGGCACTAAAACTCCTAAGAAACCTCCAACGGTTGCTTCTAAGAAACCTGTTTCCTCAGCACATAAAGTGCCCGCTCCAAAGGCTTCGAAAGCTAAGAAACCTGCTGGCCAAAACAAAAGGGACGAGAGTAGGGAGCACAATATCATCCCTCCTATTACTCCGTCCCTGCCTTCGGCAATTTTAGAAGACTCTTCGACAGATCAGGACTCGCTGTCTGAGCCTGCTTCCTCTATACCTCCCAGCCAGCAAGCCAATGTCAACTTGGAAGTCGGGCGTTTGCCTAGCCCAGACAAATTGGAAGAGGCTGTTTCTATCCAGCCCTCAAACTGGATAGCCTTGCTACTGCCGGGCGGGCGACTGAGCCTCCGAGATCTCCTTCTTCTTTGCCCAGTCGAAGTCTTCCCCCATGGAAGAAATCATTTTGGAGGCACTCTTTGACTGACCGACCTCAGTCTGCTGACAGGAGGGATTGATGTCGAAAGAAGCACAGGAGAGATCGCTCTCCTGGTCGACATTCCCGCAGGAGGCTTTATGGACATTGGAGTCGTTATTACTATACTGACTCCACCTCCTCTACCTCTTCGACATCGGAGGTCCATGGGGGACATAGAAAGAGGCGCTATTCTACCTCCTCTTCTGACAGTTCACCCTCTCCCCCCTTCTTGCTGTCGACAAGACCACGATGCCGAGGCACCTTTTCTAGCTAAGAAGACTACTTCTAAAGCGCTCACTAAGGCGCGTTCTACATCGACCTCGATGTCTAAGGGGACTAATCAATCCATCTCCTTTGCTCCAAGACACATGCCTTCGGATGATAAAGAGGCTCAGTGTGAAGTTTGTTCTGATCAGGGAGAGGAACTGCTTTCTCCACAGCAGGATCAATCACTTGTTGAAGCTGATACTTGTGAATCTGATGCAGGTGATCCCAGTCCCTCATCGCCTTCTGAGCATTTTTCATTCTACATTCAGATGGTGGCTAGAATGGCTAAGGTTTTAAAAATGCAAACACAGCAGCCTCCCCTTCCATCTGAAGACTTAATCTTCGGGGATATAGATCAAGAGAGTTCACAACCTCTGAGCCTTACTTTTATCTCTAAGTTGGTTAATCTTATTCATGAAATTTGGACTTAGCCTGCAGCCCCCTTACCTATATCGAGACGTACAGTGGACCCTTGACTTACAGACAGCTTGACTTACAGAATTTTTGAGTTACAGACTTCTCTGGCCGCAAAATTTAGGTTTGACTTGCAGACTGAGATTTGACTTACAGACCAGAAAAAAACCAAAATGGAACAAAAACGGCCTGTTACGGGATTAATCGGTTTTCAATGCACAGTAGGTCAATGGAGACTTGACTTACAGACTTTTTGACTTGAGAACCACCTTCCAATACGGATTACGTTCTCAAGTCAAGACCCCACTATACTCAGAACCTCTACAGATTTCATTTCTAAGCATCCTGCTCCTAATTCTGTTATCGTCCATGCCAACTCTTCAAAAGCATCTGGCAGACAACATGTTACCCCTGTCAATCTAGAGGGTAGGAAATTGGATGTTTTGGGCAGGAAGATGTACAGTTTTCAGACCTTCCTTTTGCGTATCTGCAATTACCAAGCTGCAATGGTTGCCTACCAAAAGCACCTTTGGACCAAGGTCCTTCCAGCCCTCCAGGGTGCACTTGATGATTCAAGACAGGACTTTCTCAGTGCTTATGCTGAGGCAATGACTGTGTCTAAGCACCAGTGTCTAGCTGGTAGACATGCTACGGAGGCAGCAGCCAAGACACTCGTCTCTACTATTACTTTACGCCAACATGCCTGGCTTAGAGCATCAGGTATCGTGGAGGACGTTAAGAAACAAGTCGAAGAACAAGCATTTGATGCCAAGGGCTTGTTTAATGAGAAAACTAATGAGTCACTCAAGAGCCTACATGAAAGTAAAAAGATGGCCAAATCATATACAATCCACCAACAACCAAGGTTTCAAAAGTCCCAGTGGCAGAGGCAGTTCCCACAGCAGCAGTATCAGCAGCAGGCCTCTCAGGGCTATAAACAGTTCAGAGGCTCTCAAGGCAGGTCATCTCGTGATTCTTCTACTGCTCTGTCCTACAAACAACAGACACAGAAACGTCAGTCTTACCGTCCTCCTGCAAAGAAACCCAAGCATTACCTTTGACTTCCACATCAATCAGAATCATGACCATCTGACCCAGTTGGCCCCATTTCTACACAATTGAAAAGAGATTACAAAGGACAAGTGGGTCCTGAATAAATCAATTCGGCTATAGGCTAGAATTTCTAGAGTTTCCTCCTCTAGGGCATCTAATGGTGGCAACATCCAACCCTACCCTGGAAGAGGAGGTTCGCACTCTACTCCAAAAGGATACCATACATCAAATCCCTTGTCAGCACATCACAAGGGGTTTTTACTCCCGATACTTCATTGTGCCAAAGAAGGATGGGGGTCTCAGACCCATTCTAGACCTCAGAAACCTCAACACGTCGCTTTCGAATGGTCACTCAGGAGTCAATTGGCCATCTGTTGAGAAGAGGAGATCGGTTCGTGGTGATAGACCTGAAGGATGCATACTTCCACGTAACCATACTTCATCATCACAGGAAATACCTTCGTTTCATAATCAACAACAAGATTTTCCAGCATGCAGCCTTGCCATTTGGCTTAGCAATGGCTCCATGCACGTTTACAAAGTGCATGGCTCCAGTGGCTGCTTTTCTTCGTCTACAGGGAGTAAAAGTGTTCCCATACATAGACGATTGGCTCGTAGTGTCGCCATCCGAACAGAGAGCCATCAAGGACTCCACCCTTCTCACCCTCCAGAGGTTGGGTCTCACCATTAACTTTGAAAAATCTCATCTGAAACTATCTTGAATAATGAGTTACATAGGAGCCACATTGGACTCCAGAAAAGCAAGGCTCTTCCTTCCTCCAGAGCACATTCAAAAGCTACAGGCTGCAGTCAAAATATTTCAACCTCACTCTCGGGTGTCAACGCATCATGCACAACACCGTTAGGTCTCATGGCCTCAACAACAGCATTCTACCACATGCACTGTCTAAAGATGCGCTCATTACAAGCATGGCTTCTCCATCATTTTGACCCACTGTTGGAAGATCCTCAAAAGAGAATTCTGGTCACTCCAGAACTAGCAAAACAACTCGGATGGTGGATTTTTCTGCCACATCTGCTGATGAGCCGTCCTTTTCGTCCACTGCCACT